GGAAAAGGAGAGAGAGAGAGAGAGAGAGAGAGAGAAAAGATGGCTCTAAGGCTGAAACAGAACACATATATTAGCACAATGCCCAGCACTTTGTGGTAATTGCTTAAGATGACTTGAGTAAGGGTCTGAATCACGTGAGCAAGATGCAGAACAGGCCCGTGTAATGAAGTTAAATGTTTTTTAAAGAAAAACTACAGCCTCTGCCCCTTTGCCCTATTCTTTCATCAGAGGTAAACAATTAGATTTTGTTTACCTGTATATTTTATATTTGTTAAGTTCTGTCTCTAAATATTATATGTAGATTTGCTATTTTTCTTTTGTTTTTGTTTTCATATTTTGACACAGGGTTTCAGGTGGTCTATGCTGGCTTCAAACTGGCTATGTAGCAGAGGATGACCTTGAACTTCGGATTCACTTCCCAAGTGCTGGATTACAGGCATGAACTACACACCTAGCTGGTATTTGCTGTTTCTTGATTTCTTGTTTCTAGCAGAGGATGAATGCTAAGTTGTTTTCCCTTCTCACTCCCAATCTTACAAACACATATAGTCTTTCATATATTCACCTATTCCATGCTGTTAAACTACAGTAAGAAGTAAACATTTAATGCTTACTTTATTATAAGCCAATCTATGTAGTAAACTATTTTATTTTCCTTGGAGTTCTTTATTTTTAGTGCTAGGGACTGAACCCAAACATTCTACCACTGAGCTATACCCTCAGCATTGATTTCAATTAGTTAAAAATTGGGAGGAAGATGGGGGCAGGAAGATGATTCAGCAGGTCGTGGTGCTTGCAGTCAAGTCTAGTGACTGGCCTAAAGACCTGAGTTCGTTGCCCAGAATCCACATAACAGAAGGAAAGAACTGACTTCACAAGTTGCCCTCTGAACACACAAACACACAAAATAAATATTTTAAAAGTTGAATTTATACATTGACTTATTTGTATCTGTGCATAGAAGTCAGAGGATAACTCATGAGAGTCAGTTCTCTCCTTCCTCTGTGTGGGCTCCAGGGACAGAACTCAGGTCATCTTGCTTGGTGGCAAGTGGCTTTATCCCCTGAGCCAGTGACAGCCCAATTTTAATTAATTACATTTTTTTTTCTTTGAGATAGGGTCTCTCTGTAGCCCCAGTTAGCCTGAAACGTGTCATGTAGACCAGACTGGCCTTAATCTCACAGAGATCCACCTACCTCTACCTCCCATTAAAGGTGTGCATCACCATACCTGGCTTAATTTTTATCTGATATATAAGGCCATAAATTCTTCTAGCTTTTTGAAATATAGACTTCACAATTGCTTCCCACACTATTGTATGGACATGTCCTCTGCCTGGCAAGCTAGACTGGCAAGCAGTAGACAGATGCCTTCTCAAGCTGGGATTCACCCGCTTGCTCTGATCACCACAAATGAACTTTCCATAGGAGGGGAGGGGCAGAGTCAGTCATGCCTTCTATCCATCCAGCTGGCCTGAATGGTACATGGGGGCAGGGTGGGGAGGCACCAAGGGGCAGGGGAAGCCAGAGAGAGGGGGTGGCCTTT